CCCCCACCCCTCACACACCCACAGAACGAGAGTCGTGAGCTGAAGCTAGACTTGACCAGTCTGCGCTCCGAGATCAGGGACAAGAGCCAGGGGTCAGACCGGACTGACCTGTCCAGGGGAGCTAGCTCGGACACCAGGGAACCGTGAGTACACCTAGAGCGATATTATGTAGGTGTTTTTACACCCCAATTGACACAATTTACATCATTTATTAGTCGAGAGACTAACCCCCTACACCACCAACTCTGGTGACTTGAGTGATAATGTCAAAGGTTATAATGGTGAAAGAGAACTGTCGGGCACACCTAGAAATGTTTGAATTTTGTAGATTTTTAGGCGTTCCCAATAAACACAAAATAAATAATTTAGGAAGCTGGATTCCTACCCTGCCAATTAAGCCCAACCAAATTTGACAGGAATGCAGTATCCCAGCAGTAAGACCAAGATTCTCAAAAAAAATTCTCGCCATTTACAACTCATACGTAGAGTGACTATGCCAAAGGGTCATCCGCTGCCTTGCTGACTGGCGTGGGCGATCATGGACCTTCACTTCACTCTGTCTTGCGTTGCAGCAATGGTGTCTGTTGTTCTTGCTGCTCCTAGCCATGTCAAATGGTACAGTGATGTAAAAGAGGCATGGATAGACTAGGTTGGGGTTTATCAGCTGCTGTTATTTTGTAAGAGAGACCTAAGAAGACTAGAGTGACTTTGTCAAAGAGATTTTTTTATTTTTTAAAAAATATTAATCATGATGTTAGTGCATTTCTTCGTTTGGTGCCTACACTAGATACCTCGATGTTGTCCTGAGGAGCAAGACACTATGGCTTGTTCCCGATTGTCAACGCTTTGCCAAGTCTGCACCCCAAACCAGGTTGTCCTGACCAGCAGAATACAACAAGATGCTGTCCTGGATTACATTACAGTAATTAGGTCAACGGGTATAGTTATAAAGTATCAAGTACGTTTCGAATGGAGTACAAAAGTTTTCTTTTACCTTTATGCTTATATTATGTTGGTTTAAATTCCTTGCTCCCTCTTCCTCTCTCTCTCTTTCTTTCATTATCTATCTATTCATCTATCTATCTATCTATCTATCTATCTATCTATCTATCTATCTATCTATCTATC